TCCCGATACATCAGAAACTGCTTTGTACGCTGACGACACAAAAACATTCAGGAAAATTACTTGCGAAGATGATGCTCGCCAATTACAACAAACCCTGACAAACCTAGCCACCTGGAGCAATACCAACAATATGAGGTTCAACGAGTTAAAATGTAAAGTGTTAACTGTGTCGCGAAAGAAACAACCTGTGGACTTCACATACCGACTGGGCTCAACCACTCTTACTCATGTTGGAAAAGAGAAAGATCTTGGGGTTACAATGACTGGAAAGCTTTCATGGGATTCTCATATCCATGAGATCACAGCTAAAGCCAACAAGCTGCTCGGTCTATTGAAGAGAACATGCCCTTTCCTGACTGACGTCAGCGTCCGACGTACTTTGTACCTTTCGTTGGTAAAATCCAATCTCTGTTATGCCTGTGAAGTCTGGTCCCCATATATCTGCTCACAGAAGACAAAGATAGAGCGTGTGCAGAGACGAGCCACTAGATGGATATTGAAAGCTAGAAAGGGTGATTCCAGCTACAATGAGCGTCTCGTTGATCTGAACTTACTACCTTTGTGTTATGATAGAGAGATAAAAGATCTAATGTTCTTCTACAAGACTCTTTATGGTATTTCCGATCTCAATGTTCATGACTATGTCTCGTTTGTAACCCATAACCACTCCCGTCTATGTCGTAATCCCAACATGTTGCTCAAGACTCCATTGTGTAAAACCACAACATATCAGAACTCATATTTCAACCGGATCGTGAAATTATGGAACAGTGTTTGTAAAGTAGCTCCACCAAATACATTTTCTAGTGTCAAAACATTTAAATACTACCTCTTTAATTATTATTCTATGTTAGTATCGACCGTATTCGATGTAAACTTGTTATGTACTTGGTCTATGTCACGTGACTGTTCCTGTCATAGGAGTTAATTGCCTTGTTGTATAAACTTGTTATTAGTATTTACATAGTAAACTATATTTACATGTATTCTGTTGGAAAGGTGCCTTGCATGGATAGCGCAAATTATTTACGTTCCGTTCGCACCTCTTCCATTTGGGTAATATTCGTTCTTCGCATGCATAGTATTAGTACGTCTTTTGTAAATAATTATTATATTTACCCAATAAAGTATTTAAACAAATAACTACCTGGAAATGTTAGCCATCTTTCTTGGGCTACAGACATTTGCAAAAAATCTGAATAACACACACATAAGAATAATGTGTGATAATACCACTGCGGTTAATGTTATAAATCACATGGGTACAAGTCACTCTGACATTGCAATAATATGGCAAAGCAAATTTGGGAGTGGTGTATTGATAAAAAACATATGGCTCACCGTAGTCCACATCCCGGGAAAACAAAATTTGGTTACGGATTATGAATCAAGGAGACATCAAAGGGAATCTGAATAAGGCATTGCTTTCAGATACCTTGGTTAAGCTTAACTTTAGCCCAGAGATCGACTTATTTGCAACTCGGGTAAACAAGCAATTCCCAAAATATGTTGCATACCGACCAGACCCAAATGCTTGTGCAATAGTTGCATTCACCTTATCATGGGCGAACTTAAAATTTTACGCCTTCCCACCATTTAGTGTCCTTGGAGCTATGCTGGCAAAGATCCAAAAAGAGGGAGGTCAGGGAATATGCGTGTTACCGAACTGGCCAACCCAGAGCTGGCATGCAAAAGCGCGCGTTTCGCATGATGACACAGGAACCAGTTTACATCAAAGCCAGCAAAAGTCTTCTCAGCCTACCAAGTCATCCACAGGAAATACATCCAATTTGGTAAAAAATGAACCTTATAATTTGCCTCTTGTCCGGGAGAAATTAGAAAGATACGATTTATCGGCTGACGAAAAAGAGATAATTATGGCTTCGTGGAGACCAGGTACATCAAAACAATACAAAACATACTTAGATAAATGGCGGGCTTATTGCAAGGAATGGCAAATTGATGTAATTAAACCAGGCTTAGAGAATGTCATTGAGTTTCTTGTTTCACTGTACCATTTAGGTATATGTTACAGTGCCATAAACACTGCTCGTTCAGCGCTTTCTAACTTACTTATATTAGATGAGGGCGTTAAATTTGGGGAACACCCCCTAGTTATTCGCTACATGAAAGGCATATTTGAAATAAGGCCAGCCTTACCCAAATATTCAGAGATATGGGATGTTACTGTTGTCCTAAATTATTTAAAAAACGTTTGAGCAAGTTGCCTCCTTACCACTCAAGGAATTCACATTAAAACTAATTACATTACTTTGCCTCACCACTGGACAACGAGGACAGACAATACATAAGATGGATGTCAATGGGATTCAAACGTTACCAGACAGATACAAAATCATCATTAACGACAAGTTGAAGCATACAAAATCAGGAAAGCACTTGGCACCAATTGACTTACTGGCATTTCCAGAGGAGGAAAAGCTTTGTGTTGTCAAGACCTTGGAGGCATATTTGCAGAGAACCGCACATCATAGAACCCAATACTCTCAACTATTACTGAGCTACATCAAACCCTTTAAGCCAGTCTCGAAAGACACAATCGCGCGTTGGGTCAAACTTGTTCTCAGATCAGCTGGAATTGATGCCAAAAAATATTCTGCTCATAGTGCCGCGCAGCATCAACATCAAGTTGCAAGGCTAAAGGTCTTACCATGAAGGCAATAATGGATGCGGCAGGTTGGTCGAATGCTGGGACATTTGCAACCTTTTATAAAAAAAACAGTGGATATTGTTAGCCAAAACTTTTGTAGTGTATTGTTAAAATAGTGAGCATAAAAATGTTTATTTCTTGGTTGATATTGTTTAATTAAAGTTCATTGAAATTTATTTACATTGTTCAATGTGCTTGGTAGTTCGTAGCACAGGACTTTGAAATCTCATGGGACTCCTTCGTGACAGGGACTGATGACAAGATAGAATTACAAAATTAAACGAAATTACCTGGAAGTTGAAGTTTGAATGTTTGATTGGGGTTCTATCTTGGTCATCAGTCTGGAACGAAGGAGTAACATGCCCTAAATACCCACCCTTCCCATCTTTGTTATTAACCTCCTGCACTACTCACGTTGAATACTGATCAGCAATGCGCATGCGCATCTCATGTTACTCCTTCGTTCCGGACTGATGACCAAGATAGAATCCCAATCAAACTTCAACTTCCAGGTAAGTT